GGCCCTCTGGCTCTCCTCATACACAATCAGCTTGCGTGTGTGTGTGTGTGTGTGTGTGTGTGTGAGAGAATACATGCAAGTGCTTGGGCTCGTCAGGTGAGGCGGCACCCCCCTCTTGGCATGATGAGCTCTCTGATACGCATCTTTTTTTGGTTCTCGATGTCTGAAAGTGATGGATGCTGTTTCCATTTCAGGCGGGGGAATGAGCAGAATAAGAAATGCGATGGGATGGTGAATTAAAGGAGAGAGGTGCGCCATGCTCAGCACCCACCCCCCAGCTGGGGGGCCCGTCCCTTTGTCTTAGCATCAGATCAGGCCGCGCTTCTCCCTCCGCTTGTGCATATCAATGGCCCCACAGCCTGGTCCCCTTGTTTGTCTTTGCCAAAGACTGGCTTCGCCTGGTGCCTCCCAGGGAATGGCCGGCCAGCCTCCCTCCCGCGCTCCCCTCGCTTGCGGGGCCTCCATCTCGGGGCCTGGGCCCCGATTGGCATTCCCAGGCAAAAATCTAGGGCTGGGCTAAGCTGCAGAACAAATGTTTGCCAGGAAAGTGCCGGGCAGAATAGGGCTGGTTGAAGGGGCCCAGAGTGTCCGTGACCAGACAAGTCGTTCAGGGGATTTTTCCATCCTCGAGCTCCCCTCTCTGCAGCTGGAGAAGAGAACGGAAAACAAAAAAAATGTTGGGGGTGGGGTGGGGGAGCCCACAAGGCTGAATACACAGCATCTGGTGCTGGTAAGGTTGTGACTGTTTAATGGTAACCTTTTCTCATTTAACCGTAGCTGTGGATTAGCACTTGGCGTATGAAATGGTGAGACTACTACGATTTTTGTCCCTTTAGGATGCGTAATTTTGAGAATATTCACACAGAGATTGATTAAAATAGCTTTAATAGGAAGAGCAGAATAGATCCAGTGGATCCTCTCTGTCTGCTTAACTTTTGTTTTCCCCCAGCCTTTTCTGACAGTGCTTCTTTCAAACAAATTTCTTTTGTACCAGTACAGTCTCGGTGGCTGGTAGGCGCTTGGCTGCCTGAAAAACAACTCAAGGTATTTTTATTTTTTTAGTTTTTTAAATACCGCTCAATAGGTGGCAGCAAGAGGCAGCAGGTGATTTGCTGTAGAGTCGTTGTGCGAGTGTGTGGGGCAGGTTATTTTGAAATGAAATATCTGGCAGTTCAGGGTGACGGAAACTTATGAATTTTTCTGTGTGTTTTCATTTGAATTGTTAATTGCATTTCTTTTCTGCTTAATCCAGTACTAGGAGCAGCGATGCCACCCCTGTTCACCCCCTGATCCGATCAGACCATCTCACTAAATCTCCCCGTAACATTGATTATTCACGCACCTTGATACCCCAGTGTGTAGGTAAAAGTAGTGTGCCTAAAAACTCTCTTAGAAATGCTTCGTAAGTTTCATATCTTATACAGACTGGATTGTTAAACATTCCAATCATCTTGCTACTGTTTTATGGGTGTTGGCATTTCTAAAGTATGGCACATATAAATCCGTCCTATTGGATATAGAATTGGCAAAGCATGAGACCGAGAGGGTGTTCAGTCTTTGACTTCTATTAGGACTTGTCCGTTGGGCATTGGATGATTTACACGCACGCTTTTCCACTGGGAGACATGTAATTGTTAGGTGTTTTTCAGCATGTGATTGAAAAGAGCTTCCCAAAGAACGAAATAGTGTTCACTGCCGAATAGTTACAATTCCCCATTTGTGTTTACATCACCCAAAGTAATCGTAGGTTCTGGGCACCCAGGAGGATGAAAGGGAGTATCTGACCTGCTTCCTCTGGGTGTGAGACTAACAGCTGTCCAATACATGTACTTTTAAAGTATATTGTAAAGTATAAATACGAGAGATTTCATATGTCTCTCCTTCAGCAGTTCAAGTGTATGTGCTTGATCTTACATGACTTTTTTTGTATAGTAGTTGTTTCTTGATTAGTATTTAAAACCAAAGTCAGCCCTGTTTCTGCTTTCACATGGTCTACCAGCATTCCTTAATGCAGGGGATTATAATCACTAATGTGTTATGACAACTGGAAAGACCAGATTCATCAACATTTATCGTTTTCCCTTGTTGTCTCCCACTCTATTCAGTTTAGTTAAAAACAGGGTATCAAACTGAGTGTTTTCCTTTTCTAGCGTGTTTTATTTGCAGTTATTTGTGCTTTGTTCTGCCCCAAAAGCCTATGAATGTGATCTTGAGGGCTGGGAGGCCCTGGCAGCTGTGTTTCTGTCAGATTCCACCTCAGTACTCCATGCATTTTAGGCCTTGTTTTTTGTGCCTTCGTTTTCCGACTTGGTGGGAACATTGCTAATTATGTGTTTTGCAGGAGTTGGCTACAAGGATTTTCATCTGCTGTACAAGTGCGTCAAACAAATGTGCATTCAGCTGAAAGTACGACAGTGTCCCAGTGTTGTTTGTCCTCACCGGTTCTGGTTCCTCTGCCCATGCCTATGGTATCGATGTCAGTAGGTGTTTGGATTTATGGAATTATTTCTACTGACACTTGTTTCGATTAAATCTGGGCCTAGTTGTACCTGGCAGCTGGTTGTGGATGTCAGTCCTCCCTTTCCATCCCACTGTTTATGTCTGAATTGGTAAAATTTACTAGTGCAGAAAAATGCCTCTACCATGGTGGACAGGCTAGATCTAGACCAGGACAATAGATATGATGTACTGTGTAGAATGGGCTGTGATGTGAAGCGACTGGGTCACCCTGGCCCTCTGATCCCCTAAGATAGTCTTTTCTGTTGGTTCTCCTTGATAATCCTGCAGTTCCTTTATGATTATTGTATCATTTATATTCCATCACCTGCTCACACTACTCCTCTGTTACATCGATTGACTTAAATTGGGCTGTTTACTTGCAAGGAATCTGAGAAATTAAAGGTTAGTGGTTGTTTCTGATCGTTATTTATTTATTTTTTAATACAGTAGATCATTGATAATCCAGTGCTTACAGAGAAAAGGGCCTGCCAAATTCTTAAAAAGCTCAGAAAGAAATGCTTTTGCTGGTCTTTTTTTAGAATTGCATGTTAATGTTTGCGGTAGTGTCACAGTAATTATCTTGCCCATTATGTTTCCGCGTCATTTTAAAAGTGCAAAGGCATGTTGTGCATAGAGCTTTTGATCCTTGGCCAGATCGTGAGTTGTTTAGCGTAATAAAGGCCCTGTCGCATGTAATTCCTGATAATGACAGGGTTACATCCCTCAGAGCATCGGCGGCCTTGGCACCATGGTGCTCATTAGTCATTCGTAATGGATGCTGCTCCCGTAAGGGTCTAGCTACAGCATTTTGAACACACAATCTGGATTTGCTTTCTTCACAGATCCTCTATCTATAGACCTCGGAATTTACTACAACACATCCTCAGATGTATCTGCTTGTTCCTGATGTCTGTGGCGTTTTAGGCCGTGAAGACTCACCGCCTGCAGGACGACCTGGGAGTACGCGGGAGTCTAATTACGTTTGCATGGGAGGCATGCTCAATATGGGGGCGTGTTCAGGACATGGTGGCTGCTGCTGGGTTGGGTGGGTGAGCCCAGGTAGAGAGTTGGAGTCAACGGCAGCTGTCAGCGGTGACACGGTTTCTTGTATCCCCCGGGCTGCCACGACCTGCGACCTGTGGCGCTTCATTACAGCCATGAGCCGCTGTTTACGGCTGCCTGCCGGTCAGCTCTCTCCGGCCAAATCCCTGTAGCCCTTTGGTCAAACATAGATATTACACTCTGTAATAACATTCGCCACCGCGCTTGACCCCGTCTCACTTCATAAAGGCGCTGTGTGTGTTTGGCTGCGCTCACATGCGTGTGTTCCAGCGAGACAGAGCTGCTGGGGAAGCCTGCGGGAAGGTGGGTGGGAGTTTTCAGCTGGCTTGAGTGTTCCCTGTCCCTAAGTCCCCTAAACTATTTCTTTGCATTTTTTTTTTATTGCAGTTGGAGAACTTTGAGAATCATCATATGCTTTATAACGTTCTAGATGTTAAACTTTGGAGGTATAAAATAGTAAACATATTTTTTTTTATCACTGCTTGATTCTTCGACTTTGCTTCCACATGACTCGAAGACCCACCTAGGGCAGATTGTGTTTTTAGGGGTCAAACATAATTGGCCGCCGCCTTTAAGGTTGAAAGAACTTGAGAAAGGACTCCAGAATTCTTGTGCAAGCCTGAAGTGCTGCACAGACTAGTTTGAGGATATCATTGTTGTCCTATGCCCATGATAATCGAGGAGTCCATTATCCTATGATGTTTCCCTCTTTTTAACCTCATTCTGTAGTTTCTTGATGTACATGGCATGGCTTGAACCCAACGTACCTGTCTCTTCTCACGTGGTGTCACCCAGAACTTGCTCCCCTTGTGGTTTGGGGAGGATTTGGCTATGTACAGAGGAAGATTTCCACCCACAAAGGCGCATTTACTCTGCATCAGTATCTCCACCCACAGGACTGTGCATTCTGCAGGGGTAATGCGCTAGAATCAGAGGCCAGTGAGCTCTGCCGACGCCCGCTTTGATCACTCTTGGCCTCCTCACATCAGATTGGCATGGCGTTTCAAACCCAGAGGCCACGACTGCAGGCACAGCATTGAGGCGGCCCTGTGGACTGTGTATTTGCCCCGAGTGTCATTAAGTGCGGATGCTCCCTGCTTGAATGGCAGAAGGGAAATACTGTTCATTTTAGAGCGGGAGGCTGTTGTTCCTGGGAATTAAAGCTGGCATCTGCGGAATGCAAATAACAGAAGGCCGTTTCCATCATTCTACGTCCCTTTGTCTCCCTGCTCTCGTCTGCTATGGGTACAGCTCACACACCCTGCTTGCATAATTCCTGCGGTCTGCCCCTTTCTCCAGTCAGAATGACGGACCTGCAAATTAGATCCCAGATGGTAGCATCATGTTTAATTGGCAGAAGCATTGTAGATGGATGGATGGATGGATGAATGGGTTGGTTGGGATCTGCTGAGGGACATCTTCTGCTCTGTCTTCCTCAGGTGAAGAGGAACATCTCTGATCTGACAAACATTCCTGTCCGGCACCAGCAATGGGAGGGATGGCCAGATACCGCCACCGACGATTTGGTGAGGAGTCGAAGCCCAGTACCCATACAGTACTCCACCATCCATCATCGCACCAAAATTCTTACAATGTTCAGGAAGTACCTATCCTATTTCTGATTGACAAACATTAGCAAATATTTTGCATTATTAATAATAACAATAATAATAATACTTTATTGATCCTCGTGTGGAAATTCTTTTTGCCTACCCCATATTGCTCTTCATGACACAAAGTCACATATTTAGGTGAAAGCAAGTTTGGCAGCGAAGGGCAGCCACCTGTAGTGGCACCCATAGAGCTGCGGGTTAAGGGCCTCACTCAAGGGTCCACAGACGTGCCAAAGCCAGGCTCGAACCGGCATCCTTCGAGTCACAGGCACAGAGGCTTAGCCCACTGAGTCACATGCCCAAACTAGCATTCTTGTGGGATGATTTCAGGTGTTGGAGATGTCCTACTCCCTACAAACGTTCACAGTTCACAGCCTACCCTACTCAGTGCTAGCTTAGAAGGTGGGAAAAACAATAGACAACAGAGTGAGTTTTCTTTGTGTTTACTTGCGGACAGGGTGACGCACCTTGGGTAAGCCTCTTTATGTTACTTGATCATCGGGTCCATTAAAAGGCATAAACCAAGGATATCCCCCCCCAACAATCTCATATTCAGAAATCTGATATTCCACCCTGCATTTTTTGTGTGGAATGAGATTAATTTACATGCCTCATTTCAGTGAAGGTAAGTGTAAGGATTTTCCTGCCTTTGGCAGGGATCTGCTAGTCGCATTCTCTCAAGTGACCTGACATCAGTCTTCATCACTGAAATTCAGCATTTCCGCCTTTTGGTGGCCAAGTCCTTTTCTGAAGGGAACATTGGGGCAGCCATGCATGATTCATTGGAATTTGTCACATCTATACATCCTTGATCTCAACTAAGCACTCCAGCCAAGTGTCCCATGAAAACCCTGAACAGAAGACCGTCTAGTTTTGATTTTATAGACCAGCTTAACATGTGGTACTGAATAGTTAAGAAGGGATTTATTGGTGTGTTTAATAGATGGATTAATTAAACTTGACTAGCGCTTATGAACACTAAGAAAATGTTTTATTGAGAAATAATCATGTTGGATAGAAGAATCAGGTGGCTTGAAGGAAATGGACCCAGGACATTATTTTATAACCGTACTGTTTTGCAGTGACAACAGTATTATCTACTAGGGAAGGGGCACCATCATGACAACTTTATGGCATTGTGTCCAGATTGTCTCCTTTCCTCAAGTAAGATGTCAGAAGGTGTCACCCCCCACCCCCCCAGTTCCCATTGAGACATTAAAGGTCACGCTGGTTACTGGTGCTGACCTCTGCCTCCCATTCACGTTCGTAGCCCTGTGAGATCCCAACGCCCTCCCACCCTAATTTTATAGCTGATTTTATGCTTGTTCTTTAGGATTCAATTTTTGTTCCCAGCAGCTATAACATTTTTGCATTGTGAAAAGCCCCCCCCCCCCCACAAGCACTTCCCAGTGTCTCATATAAAGTGACCAAACAAAATCAGTTTGACTGTTGTCCCTATTAATGCTTAAAAATACACAAATTAGTCTTTAACAGGAAAGAAAACACTTAAGAGTAAAAAAAAATGTTGTTATGCATAGCATATGCACTAATTGTTCAGTGGGAATTTTAGGGGTCTCTCTGTCAAAAACAAGTGAAAAAGGAGTCGGGAATAATGATGTAATGGTTTAGTGGGTCAGGCAGGTCAAACCGGCCTTAATTATCCCTTTATTGGTTAAAAGCATCTTTCATTGGAGTTTATTTCTTTTTCCCAGTCAGCTGTTTGTTCAGGTGGGTACTGCTTACCTGAAAGACCTGCACACTTAATAAAAAAAAACATATATACACTTCTCAGAACGTTTTATACTTTGTATTTGTGTTATGTAATCTATTGTCCAATTCTTCTCTCAATTCATTTTATTTTCAAATATTTACTCTGCGTTGCACTGAATGAGAAATAATTGCTCACCGTGATCATGTAAGTTGTCTGGAGCCAGAAAACTGGTTCAGCTGCTTTCTTGCAATGCCAAAAAAAGAGGCTCGCACTTGTTCTCTGCAGGGCCGGCACAAAAGCACACTCTCTTTTGTTGTGTGTAATGAGCTTTGTTGTGTGTATGGATGGCAGGATGGAACAACAGATACAGAAGACGATATAAACAGTGGAGTCGTTTGGCAAGAAAAAGCAATTTTCCTTTATTTACAGTACACCAGTTTGTTTAAATAGTCAGGCATAACCTTGTAAATTGATCCAGGGAAGGTGCTTTTGATGAGCTCACTTTCTAACAGCGCTAGGTTTTTTGGAATACTTGTCCTCCCTTTCGGGTTGACTAGCGCACCAGTGTGTTCAGCCCCTGTCTTCATGTTTCTGCTAAGATCACACCCCCCCAATTACTTGCTCTCTGGCCCTGTAGGGCCTCCTGGAGGCTACGGTGTGCACGTGCCTGGCCGGCGGATGCCGCACACCCTGGGCTCTTTTGGGGGGAATATTAAAAAGCACGGCTGCCCGTGGTATGAGGCTGCGACGGCCCGGCCTCTTATTGAAATGTCTCCCAGCATTAGAGCGAAAGCCGCTCCGTCACTGCCAAGCTGTTTCAGTGCATATCTCATTAACCTCGCCTCATCTCCAGGGATTTGTACCAATAAACATCGCAGGCAGGGCTTAAAATTACATTTTCCAGGAGTCAAAATGGATGACTGGTCCGCCCTCTGTTCATTATCTTTGTCTGTTCTTTCTCTTGCACTTTCGATACCAGTTGGAGAAGAGGGGGGTAAAAAACAAATAAGTGCCCATCCGCTGTCCTTGATTTTAATGACCACCCGTTTATGCAGCGCCCATATCCATTTCAAATAATGCATGTAAGCTTTTATTGCTCTGCCTCTTATCTGGTCTAATCAAACCGGGATGAGCTTTTGAAGCTAATGACTAAATCAGCACCCCACTCTTAAAATATGCTGGTGGATGAACCTTATTGGAGGAAGTTACACATTTTCAGTTAGAATTGACTAGAATACAGCTTTTACTTAATGGAATATAACACTCTTTGCAGACAGTTTTTGTTGTGTTTGACATATTAAAATTTCATTTGATCTGACTGATGCTAGAAGTAGCTACCAGGTATGCTTGATATGATTGATTTTTCTGTTGCATAACTGGAATTGTAAGCAGATTTAAAAAAAAAAAAACTGTTTGGCACATGCTCCACCATCATGTCAGGTACATGACACGTTAATAATAGCATGTTCCCACAAATGGTACAGTGACACTATCGCTCCCATTAAAATGTCATTGTGAGCCACATAACTTGCAGGCTAAGTGGCTGTCAGTTTCTAACAAGCTATTTCCGCCTGTTGTCACTGGTTAGATTGATTTGATAATTGACCTGCTGGGCAGGTTTTCTGCCTGTCTCAACAATCAGACTAGGGATGGGGAGGGGGGGCTATAACTCATTCTCAAAGGGTGCGAAACCTGGCACATACAGAAACATTATCATGTAAAGTCAAGCATTTATGTTGTATTACTTTGGTTGCCTTGATTTTGTTGTGTTAAGTTTCAGTAGGCTTATCCAGTTAGACTGTTCTGTACACTTTACTCAGCACCTGTGGTGGGCGCCAGTGTCATGCCCCCTCCAAGGAACAGGCTGAACTGACTCTGACAGCCTCCTGCCTGTAGGCCTGGGTGTGGCTCTCCATCCAGCCTGACACAGAACCAAATTACGGGTCGGCACCCACAGCCAGCCCAAGGTGCTTGGGGAAAAATAAATAGGCAAATAAGTATGTGTGTGTGATATGTTCTTTTTTCTGGTTAGTCACTGTGGGCCTCGCGATATTGGATGCTAGCAAGTCACCCGTAAAGGCACAGTGTTGTAAAACAATTTTTTTTTCTCTCTGGGGGGGGTAATGTTGACTGTTGTGGCGGATGATTGATTGGCTCTGCTATGAGCGGCTTATTACTTGGTGGGATTGAAGTCAAGGATGGTCGGGGAGTCGGCTACCTGTGGGAGTGATTGACAGGAACTTGAACGTCCTTATTAGACTCTTTCCCCGTAATTGCTGACATTTATCCAGTGTTTCAGGGTGTTTGCTAATGTATTAATGCAGGCGGTCTCAGAGGGAGCCGCGCATGGATTCCCGGCCGCGGATCTTATGGATCCGCCACTTAGCGGGTCCGCGCCGGCTTATTGGGCTGGCTGGTTGCCGTAGCGACAGGGCTCAGGGATAAGCCTAGACATGGCCCCCGGTTTGATTGCTCTCTTCAGGTGACATTCAGCGCAGAGCCTCAGCGAGAGTTTCATCCCCTTCTCTTGGCTCCTGGCTGCCTGGCTCTACCTTAACGTCCCACTCTGGTATTGGAGTCACATGGAAGATCTCAGCAGTGCTACATCCTCTACCGATTCACACCCCTTCTCCAGGCCCAGAAGTTTGTTCTGTCAGGCCACCTCTTTAATTCCCCCGTACACTTGGGCGGGACGGCCCGTCGTGGGACGCTGGGACTGACCCGGAAGGCTGAGCCCCCTTGTCACTTAGGACGAGGAAACCGGACTCAGGTTGCTGGCGAGCGGGACCCCGATACTAATCAGGAGTGACATGTCTGCAGCCCGCAAAGAGGAACCTGAATGGGACCACCAGGTGTTAAGGGTGGGGCTTCTCTCCCTTTCTTCCCATCCGCCTTTCTTTTCTGTTTCTCAGGCTCTGTTGTCCGCCTCCATCAAAGGCTTGTGGAACAAGGTGGTGTTGGGGTTCTGTGTTTCGCCGGTGCAGCTGTCAGCGGTAATTATCTCACACTCACAGCCAGGAATCTAATCCAAACAGTGGCCCTGACAGGAGAGAAAGGGGGGAAGAAAGAGAGAGAGTGAGAGAGAGAGATGGGGGGGGGCGCCAAGGAGAGCAGGGACCTTTCTGTGCGTTGCTGCCGAAGCCCAGCTCAATGCAAGTGTTAATTAAAAGAATCCAAAAAAGAAGCGACCACTCTTTGTAGAGGGGAGCGGAGGAGGGTCACGGGGAGGTGACCCCTCCCCCCACCCCCAGCCAAAGGCCTGCGGGGCCGTGCTTGTCCAGTGACATTCGGTGAGGGCCGGGGGGGGTCACGTCAGCCCCCATGTTTAACTTCTCATTCTGGTCCTTTCCCATCAACAGCAGAAGTAAAAACTTTTATTTCCGTGCCGATGCCGACCTCTGGAGGATGCGGGGTCCTCGTGTCTAATGCAGCAGGGAGGCTCACCTTGGCTGCCTGAGAGGTGGGGGCCCTCTGTCAGGGGCCACCTTTCGCGGGGCTTCAGTGACACTCCCCAGTTCCCACTGAAAAGTTAAGATGTCCGGGAAAGGCATTGCTGTTTATGTATGCAAGTCATAAGTGGATTAATATAATAATAAGAATAATAATAATAACAACTAGGTGAAGGGTAATATGGGCCTTTTCATTAAAATGAATAGGCCCATAATAATAATAATAATAATAATAATAATAACAACAATAATAAAATGCTTATTTTTAATATTTGGGCCAGATGTTATTCTATTATGTGTCATTTAATTTTTTGTGTATATTTTTCTTTTACTATCAAGGTAAATATTGCTGTTATGAATGTCTCACCCTCCTGGGATGGTCTAACCAACGCTCATATCTGTGGTCCCTGGGTTAGAAAGTTTGATGTTATATTTGTAATCTGTTAGCTTCCAGTAGCTGCCTGTGATTACTGTGATTTTAAAATGCCTTAAGTTCTGAGTACAGTCTTTGTTTAGGGATCCCCTGTATTATAGCTGGTAAGTAAAGGTGTTTTTGGTGTTTGGTTTGTAACATAGTGCTAAATTGGTGCTGAAGATGTTGCAGTGAGCCCTCTCTGAAGAGCAGAATAGCTCTTTCCCATCAGGAATCGCATTGTGTTCGTGGCTGGGGCTGTGTACCTGCTGAAACCTTAAGAATCCCCCCATCCGAAAGCAACACGGGAGTCTGACTTTTTTCCAGGGAACAGTGCGCTCCGCAGTTCTGTTAAGTATTATCCGTAGGTGATCCGCCGCATGTCCGCCACCTGGGTCGGGGGCCCGGCTTTCTACACCTCCTTTTCTGATGAGGAGCAAGTCACAAGAAACACTATGTGCCATCTGGCCACCTGTGGGGGACGCCGTGGTTCTGTAAGTGGGTTGCCGCGGCCTGGTTGATGGCCTCCTGTAATTTCACACACGTGTTCGTGATTTCAGACCTGCTGCAGCACAGAGGGTCGTGGGGTGGGGGGGGGGGGGTGGTTCATCCTAGTCAACAAACCTCCAGCAGTTTTTCTTTATGCCTTTTGCTGTTTCTGCAGCTACAGAAATCGATACGTGACGTTCTGGGGTTTAAGGATGAACAAACACAGAGCATCGTGATTTTTGGATCAGCTCTGGTTTGAAGGACATTTATTAAGATGAGATAAAACTCCATTGATCCCCACTTATTAAACAGTGGACTTTGATATGGCTCTAGGCTGGAGGATGAACAGTTCATGTGTGTTTGTAGGACCTGCCTCAGCATTGTACCGTCACCGAGTCTTCTGCAGTCCGGCAGGGTTTCTGTCATCATTCTTCAGGGCCGTGAGCTCCACATGGTATCTCGCTACCGGTGGCGATGTAACGCCTTTGACCAGACAGCTGTTCACACGGCTTTTGGGGCCGGGTGCCCGGCGAGGCACATAAAACAGCAGTCAATCAGCTTTTGGAGCTCAATTGGCGTTGCATGTAAGCGGCCTCTTATTCAACAATTACCAACTGGTCTTTGTTGGCGGCCTTGTATTACAATGGCAAAGATTACGGCCCCCCGCCGGTCCCTGTCAGGGAGTTTTCCTTTTATCTGGGTCTGTGTCACTGGCCCCAGAGTTCGGTGGAGTGTGCTAAAAGCCATTCTGTAGCAGACAGTGAAAGTTTGTTCTTCTGGCCTAAATATAAATAGACATGTATGTTTATGGTTTGTCATGGCTTTTTTTTTTCTTCGAGATAATGATGTCAGAGCTACGGAGTGGCCTTTGTGCCGGAGTGTGCCCTGGGGCTTTGTGGCTTTCGCTGCCTTTCCGACGTTGTGAGATGACAGCGTAGGGTGTTTCCTCCACTTTGAAACCCCTTTATTTCTATGTGCGATGGTGTCATTGCTTTTCCGGCCCCTGCGGGCTGGCTGTCGGCCTTCGACGTTTCACTGTAGCTTTCAGCAGCTAACTTGAATTATTCAACAAATGGCTGATTTCATGGTGTATTTTCTGGCTTAATGGCGTGCCTTACTTCACGATGCTTACAAATCATTCATGGTGCATGAGAAGGGTTTACACTGTTTTGTAGCTACTATAAAATCAAGTTTACTCTGGCAGGGTTTGATTTCACTTTGAAAGTTTCACTTCCCCAATTTCACACTTTGCCACCAGCCAGTGGACCCATTAAAATGAGTTAATACTATATTTTATTAGGTTGTGCTGACTGAGCTTCTTTAGTTTGACTGTGTTCTCCGTTAATTACGTTGTTCAACCCCCCCGATATTTTCCAGGCTTCGGGCCTAAGAGTCCTTAAAGCATCAAAATCCTGATAAGTGGTTTTGTTTTGCCCGTGAGCTGCTGGCCAGGTGCAGCATCCCCGGTGTCATGTGCTGCTCTTCCATTTTTGCCAAGATCCAGTTCGGCGAGTGCCGGGGCCCTGTGCTCCGCATGGCATCCTGGGCTCCAGGTTACGCAGTACCGGCTCTGGGGACTGAGCCAAGAGCGGCAGCGTTTAATGAGTCCCCTTAGCGATAATGCTGTCTGACATTTCCAGGGTCTGTTTGTGAGTTAATTAGCAGGCTGGGCGCTGGCCGGCCTCCTTTCTGCTCAGCCTGTCTCTCTTCCTGCATATGCTGGGGCGAACCACAAGCCGCTCTGGACGCCGGCCGCTGGGGTGACATATCTTCAGATTTTATTGATTACTGAATCGAGGGTTCGTTTCTACTTATCAGCATTTAACGTACCTGACAGCCGGTGACATTTAAGTTGTTTCCAGCCGAGCTTATACCAGCGTGTTTCCAAGACGCTTCCCTGACAGGAGAGTTTGGACTAAGCAGTGTTGTGGGAATACTCCTTGTTTTTGTGCTTCCCAGATGACGTTGGCGGCCTCTGGGATCAGCTACCCCTGCCATCACCTGAGCGTGTGCCGGAGAGCCTCCCCCACCCAAGCCCGGGATCAGTCCGATGAGGTAAAGACCACGCAAGCCCAACCAGAACCTCCCCATCTCAAGTTTCACACATGGCTTGTGATATATGTGATCCATTTGACACATTTAGTGGAATAATCGCAAAACCTGCTAAGTATAAATGAAATGCTAAGTCGGTTACTTAGATGTATGTGAATGTGAAATACGTTGTACTGTGCTGAAAGTCTGCTGGGTAAACCTGAATTAATTCGCGCAAAATGAGCACAGTTGGTCCGGCTGCCTCTCCGTGTGGAATAGTGTTTCGTTTTCCTGAGGAACGGAAACACCTGCCTCTGCGAGCTCCCCTGTCCAGGCAGTCAGCTTCTGCTGCCAGAGCCCCAGAAATTAGCAGGATGCCGAGTCAGTGTATCCCCGTGGCCTGGTCAGCTCAGCTTGCCTGCCTAGACCAGTATCCCTCTTGACATCAGGTATGATGTCACTGTGTGTCAGTAGCATAAAAGTATCTACATAAAAGTAGGTTATATGAAAAACCCAGTCCTGAATTAAACCTTAGGCCATGTGGAGCTGCCAACACAATGGCTCAGAACATTCCTTCCAGAATATTGCAAAGGAGAACATACTGCTGCATTCTGCTGTAAATGCAGAACATTTGCCTTGGCGCAGGTCCAGAGCAGCTCGTGACCAAGTCAGAGCATCATGCTATTTTGGCGTTTCTCTTCAGCAGGCACTGGGTGGTGGCTTGGGGTTGAACATACCATAATGTAGCCCTAAGAGACAATGTCTGCCTGACCAACAAAAACACTTTAAAGGGAAACCCAGATCAACAAAAGATGGGTGTCGTTGAGAGAAAAGGTTTTTGCCATGAGTGTAAAAGAGAGAACACTACGACGTATTTGTGTTAGTGGTGTCGCCCCAGAGTCACTTTTGGCTGTAATTCCAGCCAAGTTCACAGCTTGGAAAATTTATTCAATTAATGCTTTGTTTACCTTTTATGCGTGTTTATTCATTAAATTAATTCCATTAATCTTCAGATTGTGCTTTCGGTTTTGAATAAAATATTAGAGTGAAATATACAGACAAAGTTTTGTTGTTTTGCAAGCCAGGCCACTGTAGGGAAGGTTCTGAATACTTCTCAAAACCTGCCTATTATCTGCTAGATAAGAGTGTGAAGTTTGGAGAATGAATTCAAAAAGTCGCTGTGCTGTGTACACTTTTGATTTCTTATACAAAACATGGAATCTGTCATTCAAATGGTGCCCCCACCTTCAGACATGGGCATTACTGCACTACCTGAGCTGTGGTTAAAAAAAGCTTCCATTCTTCAATGTGACTTGCTGGCTAATTCATAATACTTTAATAAAATTGATGAAAATGCTGCGTCAGGTCAGACCTCGCTGACCTTGCCTGTGTGTTTGTTCCTGGCATGTGGGTAGTGTACAGATGTGCACATGGTGAGCGACAGTGAGGGCGATGACTTTGAGGATGCTTCTGAATTTGGAGTGGACGAGGCGGAAATATTCGGAATGGGTACTTCAGGATGTCGGAAGTCTCCCATGAGTAAGTTGACAGGATTTGACAGTGAGCCTGGGAAATGTCCCAGTTTTGGTTCTGTTTTATCATTTTTGTTTCGGGCCCAATGTGATTCTGTTCCCTTGTGTCCTAGTTCCTGAGAACACGGAGAATGAAGGGGACGCCCTGCTGCACTTTACGGCTGAGTTCTCTGCACGGTGAGTTTACGGCGTGGTCAGAGCTGCCAGGCGCCAGCTGCTGAGTGCTCACGTCCTTTTCGTTGCCCCCCGCCCCCCCACCCCACCCTGGCAGGTACGGGGACTCCCATCCGGTTTTCTTCATTGGCTCTATGGAGGCAGCGTGTCACGAGGCATTCTACGGCAAAGCCAGAGATGTAAGTGATATTTGAGGGCGCTTGCAGCCGAGCGGGTTCTGCGGGTGCGTGAGCATGACGTTTGGACTCATTTTCAGCTCCTCTTCTTTGCATTCGCGACCTTCTCTTTTAACTTTCACCATGCTGCGTGCTCGTGCAAAATTTCTAACAACATCTTCCACATGATCTCTACCTTCTAGTACCCTGTTTTCATGTCCTTTTATTTGTATAGATGCATACTCGGCTAGGAGGAAAATTATAAGCATCTGCATCTCTGCCGCCATTGTACGAAGAATCTTTAATTATTTTTTTTCCCAACCAAAGACAAATTCCTGTTTCCTGTCTGTCTTATGTTACCATAACCCAGCTGAATTTTAATATCCCTCCCCAACATCTGACGCTTTATTTTTAGCCTGGTTCCTTGAGTTTCTTCCCCTCCTTTCTCTCCTCCCTGCTTTGTCCTCATAAGGAAGCTTGTATCAACTGACAGCTTGTGTGGATTACAGTCTTATTAGAATGGGAAGATGCGGCAAGATGTTTGGGGGGTTTTAGACTGCAATGCAAAGGCTCCGCTGGCCCCTTGCCGGTTACCGGCTCATTTCTCTCCCCCCCTAAGCCAGCTCAATATGGCCTATCCCCCCAACCCCTCCCCCGATGTCATGTGTCCTTGAGGAGTTTATAGATTGTGTCAATGAAAATAAAATTCCTAGCTTGGACAGACTTGCAGCCAGCTCCGTCATCCGAATTACAGAATTTGATGACCAAACTGGAAAAGTTTTTGACACATGCTGTCACTAAGTTATATTAATTAAAGTCAACCAACCCCCCCCCCCCCCAAAGCTAAAACTCCAACCCCCTCTCGGAGAAATGGATGTAAATCTCTGCCCTTGTCAGCTCAACGGGCTGCACATTAAGCAGTTATTGGAGCACTCCAGGTTTATGGGAGGGATTTTGTGGAGGGCTCTCTCTCGCTTTCAAAGGCTCTGGGGCTAATCACTAAGTAAAACACTACATTTGATGAGGTGTTTCTGAAGAGAGAGATGCGCTCAATCCGCCCTTAATGAAAATGCTGGGGGCCCTTGAGCCCCTTGGAGGGGCGGGGGGGGGGGGGATCAACCCAAAGGCTTCCCTGGCTGACCACCCATCCTTGCCGAGGCCTCCTCAAATCCCTCTAACACTGTGGTTAATCGGAGTAACCCCTCACTCTCTCAAGGAGACGCATCAAAATTCATAGCTCCGCTGGGGGATGTATTTCAACCCTCCACTCCCCCACCTCCCGGAGCCTCGTCTTGCGAAGGGGAGGGTAGATTGAGGACAGGGAGCTCCGGCTTGGGCCACGAGCAGGTTCTATAGCTGCCCATCTCTTATTCATGACCGGTTCGTTTCTCTAGGTGAACTTGTACGACAGTCTGAGACATTTTTCATTGTTACAATGTGTTCATTCAAGGGTGATATGCTGCACAGTGCATAGGGATCTGTGCTCATGTTTGTGGGTTTGAAACCCGTGCCTCACCGGGTAATTGTAGGGGCTCTGAACGCTGCTTGACCTTGCGCTCTGACCCCACGACCACGTCAGCAAGATGGGGTTCGCAAAAAACCTAAGAATTCCTGTGTACCTTGTACAAACGCCAAATGAACTGTATCTTGCTGTGTTGTAACTGCCATATAGTCATATAGTCAGACCATATAGTCAAGATTTACTGATAGTGTATATCCAGTTGTGGATCATCTATTGGTCCTGAAATGGGTCCAGAGTCTCGACAAGAACTGTGAATCCGTGCTTTTATGTTAATCACTCAGTAATCAGTACTTGTAATATGTAATTATGCTCCTTTCACTAATTAGAAGTGACTAATTATAAATCAAGTGCATTTAATCCTTGGCTTTAGTGAAATGTTGTCATTCTAGGTTTGAGAATTCAAATTTGTTTGCCTTTAAGTAATTTCCATTGTTTTGATTTGATATCATTATCCACATATGTACCCGGAAGTGCTTCTTGTACATTCTTGTATTAATGGTTACGCATTGCTTTTGAAAACTTGATTTATAGTATTTTCTGTAAGTGATTTAATAATGGATAAGTACTGTGTATTTGGATAAGTGTTATATATTCGTCCATACTTTGAACGTGTTTGATTCATGGACGCGTAATGACTCACCCCCTCAGACAGTGTGGTATTGACTCAGCGCGTGCGTTTTGGTGTGCCGGTTTAAGTCTGCCATCTGGTAAACCGTTGATCAGGACTCTCTATTGCGTGTCGTCGGGGTCACGAGACAGTAATCTGAGCTTTTTATTGAGAAGTGTTTGCTTTTCCGGCGGCTGGAGCCCGTCGCATTCACGGCGTTCCTTTTGTTTCTCCACCTTCGCAATAATTAAAAACGTCTTCCAGCGATTTCACTCGCGTAAACAAATGCGACCCTAATTAAGGCACGTTCCCTCTCAGGGATGATATATGGAAGTGTTTGTTGTGCTTGTGTTATCAGCCAGGTGGAAGTTCGCTGGCCGTAGGCTCCCGGCGAGGCCCGTTTGTCGGGCAAAATAAATAAACCTGGGAAGGGGGTTCACGTCCAGCGCAAACACATAGCGAGCAGCTTCTCCGCGGGTGTGATTTCAGCCGATACGCCAGGGTTTTGGGGCTGCAGCTGTCCGCTAGACGGGTTAATTCTGCTTCTGACGCTCGGAGAGCACCTGTGCCGGAGAATTCCTTCTCATTTCGAATATGATCGCATGTCCCACAACCTGGCTGCAAAACAGGCACTTTGGCTCGCCTGCACAGCTCCCTAGCCCCCCCCCCAGGCATGGAGGTGCATGAGCGGGAACCACCAACACATTACCCGTCCAGAAGAGGGACCTGGCACCTCGAGTGGCATCTATAGCTCTCCTCATCATCTCCTACACCTGCTGTCACAATGCCATGAACAGGTGGCCAACCTCTCATCACAAAGAAGGCTCATTGGTCAGGCTGTCAAAATGCCATGGCCGACCTCTCATCGCAAAGAAGGCTCATTGGTCAGGCTGTCAAAATGCCATGGCCGACCTCTCATCGGAAAGAAGGCTCATTGGTCAGCCTGGCCCACAGAACTGACACGACCATTAGCTCACGACATCCAGAACCAGCGGGAGTGTCCGCATGAGAGAGAAGGCATGTTGAGGGCTGCCATACTCCCTAAGCGAAGGAGTGAAGCTGCATGACGGAACCGTCGTTTTTGCAAAGATGTGGTATTTTCGGAGCGCGGCGGCGGTGTTGAGAGTGGCCTCTCTGTGCAGACTAAATCCACCCCACTTTCACCGTTTTGTGGCCCCCAAAGAATGATACCCTCTTTGTGTGTGTGTCTGTGTGTGTGTTTTATTTTAAATAAAATTCTCCTCTCTCCAGGCTGCATTTGCTTGTCTTCTCAGCATGAGTGTTTAATCTTTTCAGGGTGTTCAATTGGGCCGCTGAATGAGGCCCGTCTCCTTCTCGCTTGGAGCTCTGCAGCTTATTCTAAACCTCTAATCGCTGAGCAAACACTGCCGCCTCACCCCCGCTCCTTTTCTACACCGGCCACAATATCGCACCGCCCTCCCGCTTCCTCTCCTCTCCTCTCACCCGCATTTTGTTCTCGGGTCCGAAGTTCCGCAGAAGCCGAGGTGTTCCACCTTCACCATGTTCAGACCGATGTTTCGCGCTCCTCCCTGTTCGGAGAACCTTTCTTTTTCATGTTGGTTTAATTAGTTGTTAGTCCTAAGATCCTGATTTAAAAAAAAAATAAAATAAAATTTGTGGGTGGGGGGTGGTTTTCTGAGTCTGTTGTCCCTCAAAATTGTCAGTTTCCGCTTCCCTGGTGTTTGACGCTACATGAGTAGCGTGATTTGTTCCCGGTATGTTTATTATTGCCTGGCTTTTTGCTTTTTTTTTGCCTGGCTGGCTGCTCTTTCACACAGTTTCTGTTCATACTGTACGTCAGTGCTGAAACACAAAGGCTTTAGCAGAGTCTGTCCTCCTATTGATTAGGTAACCATGCAGTAAATTGAGGGGCTGCTCTGTCTGTCGCATCTGCCCACCCAACCCCTCAGTCCCCTTGGAAACCTGAGCAGTGTCAGGTTCAGGGTAATCTTTGTGTTGGTGGCTGCCCCTTTTAGCTCTTGTGAATTCTCCTGTTGCCTTTAACCTCAGCCTAGCTGAAATGTGCCCCCCCCCTACAAATGTTTTAATGAAGTTTCTGTCCCACAGAGGAAGCTGCTGGCCATCTACCTCCACAGTGACACCAGCGTGCTGGCCAACGTCTTCTGCTCTCAGATGCTGTGTGCCGAGTCCATCGTCTCATATCTCAGCCAGAACTTCATCACCTGGGCCTGGGATGTCACTAAAGAAGCTAACAAAGCCAGGTACTGTCTGCCCAGTACCCAGAGAGCCCAGGAAATGATCTCTCCGTCCTCAGCTGTCCAGGTCTGTGGGATGGCTTAGCTGTTATTGGTGGATGATACCTTCATGGAGAGGCTCCTAGCCTCCTCTGCTACCCTTTAAGTCATACTGCTCCATCCTGAAAAGGGGTTAACACCAGTGCATGACAAAGGAAGTCGTGTTTGCAGAATAAGACCTCTGTTGACCAGTCCTTTCTAATCTGCCTGAATGGACGGGCCAATTATACGTGCAGGAATGAAGATTTTGTCCTGGGTAATATATCTGTTTCATATGCCCTAATCAGCTGCCCAGTGCTGTGTTTGCCCCAGGTGCCCGTCCCTCTGCCAGGAGCACATGTCCACTGGGGGGGGGGCGGTTTGGGGAGAACCGGTCAGCAGTCATTAATTGACCAGATGTCCCCTCCCAGTAAGTTTTGCATCTGCCCTCCTCCCCTTAGCCTGTCGTTAATTTTGTGCTTAAGTCGTACCTAACTAACTTTCTCAAGCCCTCATCTGTTGACCCGAAAGCGAAGCAGGTCGCCCCCCCCTTTGCGCCGTGCCCCAGGTGTGCGGGCCGCGGCGGCGGCGGAGCAGAGCGGGCGCGGCCGGCGTCCAGATGGAGGCTTGATTGAGCCCAGCGGCCGTCGTGGCTCCAGGGCAGGCTAAAGCTTTTCCTTTCAGCAGGCTGCCCTGCTAAGCCCACCCCCTGGAAGGAGGCGTTTAAGAGAGATTTGGTGGAGGTGGTGAGGGGGGGGCTGGACTTTCAGACTCTGACCCTACTTTTTAATTTTTTTTTTTAAATTTCCTTTTAGGATACTCCTTGCCTCATTCTGCTGCCTTTCTCCTACTTTTTGCCCCAGCTGAGTCATTTTATCACAGATTAAAGGCGGGCAACATCTGGAGCTTTTCATAATGCATAGCACAAGACACGCACACACACACACGCACGCACACACACACAAATGCGGGCTCACATTCTCACGCTCCTGGGTTGGAACTGACTGACTGTGATTGGCATTAGTGCCGAAGAGGTCCTGGCTGTTCCAGCCTCTTTTCATCCAGGAATCTGCTGGGTTTCTTCGCTTCGCTTAACGATATTCAGGACGAGAGTCATTGTACGCGAGAGCGGCTTTCCGGGCCCGTCGTCATTCTCGCTCCCGGCCCATGGGGATGTCATGCGTTTCTGAATGCTAATGTGTAAGATATTAAAAAGTGAAACTCAGATCTGATAAATGCATGATATTAAATAGTTTCCAGTAGTTTGTAATGTTTTGTACAGTGTGCATGGTTTGAAATATGCAGAGGTAATTTTTATTTTATACTTCCTGTGGAAGACACTGAAACCAGATGGGAGCTGATTTAAAGAACAAGGGGTACCCTGTTAAATATGTTTTAAAATGTGTCATCACCCTCTCCAGCGCATTTTAGCATATTATCATTTTTTTTTGTCTGAAAAGCTGACTATTTTAGAACCTGACACATCTAACATGTTCCCGCAAAGATGGGGAGAGAGCTGTTTACAGTAAAGTAGTGTTTTTATGGCATGAAACTGTCAGCGTGACCTGAATCACAGCAGACTGCTCTGAGGCATTCAGTAAGGTGGATACAGAGTGGAAACGGTCATTTTACATCAGGAATCGGGGGAGAACACTCTACGGCTCAACATTTAACTCAAATTCTGCACAAGTTAGGTTTCTTAGGTTTCGTCCAACCACTTCCGCAGCATTTGCTATGGGTGTTGCATCCTACGATCCTTTTTTTTCTGCATGTCTGTGCATGCTTGGGTTCATAATTACTTTGTTAATTAGAGAGGTCAATCATGATAGCAAAGAATTATTTTGTTCAACCAGTGGAAATATCTAGAGAATAAGTGCTTGGAAAAATGAGTGTTATAAGACCTTGATTAAAGGCAATTACCAGTGCATTAAATTACAATTTCATTATCAGGCAGGTTTGATAATATTCAGGTTTCTTTGTACATTAGTTACAAATGATTTGTCATAATTTAAACCTTTTAAAAGGAAATAGACCTGGTTAAACATTTGAGGCATATTTAAGTAGTTTAGAAGATCTAATATTCAAATAGTATCAAACTAATATCAAATGTGAAGTGTGATCTATTTACTTTTGTTGGGAGTGTAACAAAAAAGATGGAAGTTCTGTACAAATTTATGAAAATTAGAAGCCAGTGAATTTTCTTTATTGCCATCTCACCCAAGTACAGAGTACCAGGTGAGACGAAATTAGGTATCTTCAGGACGATGGTGCAAACATACAGTATGTAGTTCAACAGAAGAGTGTACAACATATTGTGTAAATACAAAATATCATGCAAAAAGACAGGACTGTGCTGTGAATTGACATGACAATGGTAGGACACAGTACAGGAGATCAGTTATGTCAGAGAGTCCAGTTTGTGTAATGGGGATGGTGGCCTCTCCCCCTGCATCCTACACCTTATTAGGGTTACCTTGTATACATTGTTTCTAATCAGCACTGGCCAGGCCAGAGTTCTGGTGTCGACCTCAGCCCATCGGGGAACAAGGCGGTGTCAGCCCCCTCTATTTCACCTCTGCCTTTTGGTGTGTTGTTCCTGTTTGTCAAAGACCTAGAATACTGCTGGACACCTGTATCCCTAGTACAAAGTGTTTTCTGAAAGCCTGGCTTGCCATTAGGTAGGCTTTTTTGCCAGTTGACTGTGACTGAACTGATGGCCAGATAATGGCGGCTGTTGTAGATCTTTCTGGAGTAAATCCATTCAATATGTTTGACGAAGCAGCACATGAACCTCTGTCAGACCAAGCCAGCGCCCTGGGTCAGTTCTACCCGGCCACCGCATACCAGGTGGAATGGCTGTTCCATCGTCTCCCTCTGTAAACGACACCATGCTGCCCATGCTGAAGGCACTCCACTCTGCTCTCCATTTTTAACTTCTGATTAGTGGTGACTTATCGTCCTGCACTCCTCCTTCCTTCATTTCCGTGACCTGTGCTACTCCACGTATGCCAATACTACTTTTTTTTATCATGCAGTTATTAAAACACATCTTATTAAAATGAGAGGAAAAGAGCTAATCTATATTTGCATTCAGTCAATGGCAATTCATTAATATTATGACATTTACAGTGAGCTCTCAGGGTCTGCCTGCTACCCTTTTCCTTTAGTGAAATGTTAATTTAAAGTTCTGTCTTTGTAATGGAATAAAAAATCCTTTCTGCTCTATCAAGTCGGCAAGGCTGGTTAGGAATACTAATTCATCTCCCACTCCTCAGATGGATTGAGTTGGCTTTAAAGTCTTTTGTGCAGCAAGACTAATTTTCCAATTTTTGGAGACTGGAATTTTTATTGGATCCATTTTATTTTCCGGTCCCAGGTTACTAACCATGTGTACGAGGCACTTTGGAAGCGTGGTCGCGCAAACCATCCGGACATACAAGACCGATGAGTTTCCTCTCCTTCTCATTGTCATGGGCAAACGGGCGTCCAATGAAGTTTTAAATGTCATCCAAGGTAAGCAATGGAATGTCTCTATGGCTAAAGACCATCCACACACGACTGTCCAACTGGGGTGTTCCGATCGATTAACCAGCCTGTCCTGTCTCAAGGGAACACAACGGTGGATGAGTTGATGATGAGGCTAATGGGGGCTATTGAGATCTTCACTGCCCAGCAACAAGAAGACATCAGAGATGAGGTGAGAGTGCTGGAGAACCACTCAAGGACAATGAGAAGAAAGCATGCTGGTGGATGTGATGGATATGTTTGTCATGGCCTGGAACTTCATGGCGAGTCATCTTGCATTCTTTCGGCATATAGTAACCTTCCCTCATCCTCTCCGCATATGTTCTACCAGGGATGTACAGACTCCTTTCTTTGCACTGTAGCCTATCGGCTGTTGGGGAGACAAACTGAACCGGAAGCAAATGGCTAGTGAGCCTTGAGGTATTTGCGGTAGCTGTCGGAGCAGATCTGCTGAGCCTTGAGGTGAATGAGTCTCCTGACACCTCAGGGGTGGGGGATGTATTCTAAATGAGAGTGTGAGTCGGGAAGGGTTGCAATGTCCAGCATATATTGCGGCTGTCATTGCTTTGTGCTCTCAGACCGCTTAGACCCCACAGCCATCGTAGACTCCAAGTTGTTGTGGGGCCTTCCCCTCCTGTCTGGAAGCTCACCAGTGGGGACAGTGTGTCTTCTGTGTAAGTCCTGGGGCCCCAGAGATGATCCCAGAAAGTAGACGGGAGGCTTAATATGACCCGAGAGACTCTGACCCTAACCTCCTGAACTTCACACTTTGTTTTTCATTTCAAATGTTCTGGTAAAATTAATGTTTTTGTTTCAATATTTGTATATCTGGGTCCTTTTTTTAGAAAATGAAGCATATTAATCTTTAAAAGTTATGGAATGCATCCAAAATCTTCAAACAATGCTTTGAAAGGATTATTTTTCTAAATTTATACTGGTAGTAGGTCTAGGCTTCGAATTAAGACGTTATCTTCAAAATATTTTCTTTAACATGATTTTGTAAATGTTCTAGCAAACTAATGGACTAGTAAGCACAACTGAACATCGGTCACATGGCAAAGCAAGAATGTTATGACGGATATGGGGAGAATGCCGTTTTAGATTTTGACAACTTTCTGCAGATTCCTGATTTGTTCCTGTGCTGAGAGAGCACCCGATAGCTCTGTCAGAGAGCATCCATCTGTTATCAGCCACTTTACATTCTGCTCACTCCATCAGACGTAAGATCGCTGGCTCTGATTGTCGGACTATCATGGATTTGTTTAAATACTTGAGTGACCTTTCAGGGCACAAACTATCGCCATTATTAAATGTTTTTCCTATGCATTGATTGCAGAATGAGAGGGGAATATTGACTGCTGGGAAGTAATTATTACCTGTGTTATCCTTGAGAAAGTAGAAAACAAGATTAATTAGTACATTGTATATTTAAAAATATTGAACCCAAATTCACTGCAAATAGGAATATTGAACAGATGGCAAGATTCCAAGCTTCCATTCATGGGAGTTTAATCAAATTCTGTATTTTCCCATCAATCTAGATTGATTCGTTTAGTTATTTAGCTACCTATCCTTCTGTCTGGCTGCCTTCTGCTGTGTGAAATGTTTGTAGTGTCCTGTTTAAGTAAAGTCAAATTGACATATGTTTTTTTTTTTTTATATATATATATGCTTCAGAAGTTTAGACTTCAGATACCAGGAAAGGAGTGTGAAACAGTACAGAATATTACCATTATTTTTGTGTTTTTCTGTACTTTCCCATGTATATTCTGTTCAGTTTGCAATAGGTTTGCATATGATTTTTTTCTGATTTAATCTTAGGTTGGAGATTTTATGGGTTTTTCAAGTGTGATGCACACTGAACATCAACGTACATCTCCCCCTGCCAACTGTCTCCAAACTTGGTGTGATAAATGACGTTTTATATCTTGTCAACCACATTTTCAGTCATCTGTGCCTTTTGGACAGCAAGTGATCTTAGCTGAAAATCGAATTTCCATCAGTGTAATAAATCAGCATGAGTCTATTCTGCTGTATGACGATGTCCTTGCAAACTTGGAGAACAAGGGCTCTTCATTTTGGAAAGTTCAGGTTACCTGCAGCCCAAGGGTGAACTTGGTGATTAGATACGGCTTGACATCCTGGTTACTTCAGGACACATTTTTAGAGGCTCTGCCTCTGTTAACCCAATGTTTTCCCAAAATGAGTCAGTGGCAAGCAGTAATGAGATGAGAAAATACTGAAGTTCTTATCTGAAAGGGGACCTGGGGGTTGTGTGTTTCTTATGAGTTAGAATGGTTGTAAGTAGTGTTTTGCTGTTGGGGTGTTTTTGGTCTGTCTTGCGTATGCATTATGGAAAAATGCGTATGCATTTTTATGGAAAAAAAAAATTAAATGCTGAAAGTGCATCAATATCAAGAACCTCATAAAGAGCTGGACAAACCTTTGGCTTCAGAAGAATTTCAGTCCTTCCTGGAGTGCTGTCATACTGTACATGGGGGGGGCGGGGTGTTGAAAAGCCATCATTTCATTGAGGGATGAAGGAAGTGAAAATCTTTATCACATTCCCAAACTTCCCGTAAATGTCCAGGATGATTGGATCTGGTGAATCGGGAGGCCTTGGTAAGTGTTGACTTCATCTGGGTGATCATGAAGCCAGGGTCCAAGTTTGTGCTCTTGACACCATGTGTCTTTGCACACTGACCTTGAATATAAGTTGGTTCTGAATGGCAGCACTGCCATATATTCTAGCCTTACAAAGCTCACAATGTACATCTTTTGTGGAAACTGGGTCACAGACTTGATTCAGTGCTGCTGTAATTTTGAGGCTGTGCTTTGTGCATTTCTGTCGTGTCTTTCTCTGTCTGCGTTTGACCTACATTGTCATGATTGGAACATTTGTAGCAGTGTTTCTAATTGTGATTTTGTGCATCCCTTTTCATGTCGGGGGTGTGTAGTGTACATTTGTGGGGGGTTTTATGGTTGGCAGGGCTCAGACTTTGATTTCGAAGACAGCAGAAGTTCCCAGGAATCAGATGCTTCTTACAAATATAACTTGAGCCTTTTGTTTAAGCAGAAGTGCAGAGATGCTTCCATTCTGGTCTGAATGGGCTTGACTGACAGTTGAGGCAGAAATGCTGTCAAGGCACTCACACACAAGATGGACAATGAACTGGCAGAGATACCTGGAAGCAACAGCTCTTTTCATTCCCGCTTGCATGGGCGTGACACAGTGTTTCAAAGTGAGCACGGTGCATGGCACGGTTCCTGAGGCAGCACCCTAATCCATAACCCCCAGGAATGTGAGCCACTCCGGATCCCGTCCTGCATGTGAAATCCGCTTCACGGCTCTGTATGGCCTCGCACTGAATTCCTTTGCTCATCCTCTTATCTTCTGATTGCATTTCATGATGTCCCTCATTTTAGTATTGTTTTTTATGCTTTTTACTTTTTTGCTTCCTTCATAGTTTGATTTTGGGGGCCCCCTTTTGGATAGGAGCCCCATCAGCACAGCCCTGTCCCCTCCCCTCCTCCCGCCTGCCATCCCCTGCCCAGACGGAGGCTTCTCCTGTGTGAGCAGCTGATGTCAGGTTATTGCAGTGGGCTGAATTTCAGTCACCCAGGGCTGGTGCCGTGTATTTACAACACCCACAGGGGGCGCTGGGTTAGCTGGGCAGGGTACGAGGTGCTCATGGGAGGACAGGTCTGGGTCCAGCTCCTCTGTAAAATCTCCCAATTGAGCAGCTCAGCAGCTGATCTGGAGCGACCCATCCCCTGTCTCGCTGACAGCTGCCCGACCTCGTGGTCACTGGATGAAGCCGGGCTCTGCAGACGCGCGTTGGCATTCTGATTACATTCCTTTGTAATTGACAAGCCCCCCAGGGGCTGAGCGGAGGCCTTCCTCGCTGCATCTGAGGGACCTCGGCATGGCACTCTGCCCTGAAGGGTGTCTCTCTCTGTCCCAGACTACGCTCTGCTTCCCATGTGGGAATTTTCCCAAGCAGCCAATCAGCCCCTCTCTCCCTCTCACCGTCCTGCCAACAGTTGCCCTGAGATCTAAGAAGACACTCTTCTGTTTTAACTTCCCCACCCCTTCCCACCATCTCGTTTTAGCTCTTTAGAAAGTCTCACGTGGCCAGTAGGTAGGCAATCCGCTGTGGCC